GTATGTACCCAACAAATATTGTGACGATTTTGCTGAGAAACTAGGAAAATTGCGGGGACCTAAGGCCAGTATCAAATTATGCCCTGGAACTGAGCCCCGATTTTTCACGGCACGTGTGCTAAATTACTTCCTGAGATCAAAGATGGAAGACGAAATAAAGCGATTGCAATCAGCATGAACAATCGAGCCAATCCAATACAGTGAGTGTGGAGATCCAATATTTCCAGTCCTGCATCCCGATGGTTCTGTGCATAGTTGTGATGATTATAAAATAATTGTTGATCAATGTTCAATTCTGGCTAACTATTCCTTACCTCGGATAGAGGATCTGTATGTTGCGCTGGCAGGCGAACAAAAGTTTACGCAGCTCGACCTCAGTCACGTGTACTTGCAAATTGTGTTAGACGAGGCCTCTCGCTAATGCCCTCCGCTAAGTACATACATGGATCCATTCCAGTGCAAACATCTGCCTTTCGGAATCAGTTCGGCTCCAGCGATATTCCAAAGGATCACTGACAACCTGTGCAAAGATATTCCTTTCACTTGCGTCTATCTTAACGACGTTCTTATTACAGGACGTACAGATGCTGAATATTTAAAAACGTTATCCACTGTGCTCGGACGTCGACTACAGAGTGGACTCAAATTTAAGAAGTCCAAGAGTACCTTTATCTCAGATTCCGTTCGTTGCCTTTGTTACCGCCTCGATAGTTACGGATTACAAGTGTTAGAAAACAAAGCATAGTCATCCATGTCGCACCTAAACCCCAGAATGAAGTTTAACTCCGATCGTCTTAGGGATGTTTTCTTACTATCGTCGTCGCTTACCTAAGGCCTCAACAGTATTTGCATTCTTGTACAAACGGTTGCAGAAGGGGAAGTCCTGGACTTGGGACCCGGATCAATGAAAGTACTTCATAGACGAAACAATGGTGCTCAGTGCTTCCTCATATCTCGTGCATTTCCATCCCAGCCGGCATCTAGTGCTGCAGTGTGATGCTTCCTCATGCAGTGTAGGCGCAGTCCTTTGCCACCGGGCGGCTGATGGTACTGTTCTTCCAATCGATTTTGCTTCTCGTACCTTGCAAACCCCTGAAAGGAATTTCTCTCAAGTGGACAGAGAGGCCTTAGCGATTATTTTCGAAATCACACATTTCCACCTGTTCATCTAGGGAAAACAGTTTGGTATCCACATCGACCATAAACCACTTCTTTAGCTTCTGGTTGAGGAGAAGGGAATCCGACAGATATCTTCGCCTTGAATGCAAAGGTTGGCACTACTTTTGGGCGTCTATAACTACAAACTTCAGTACGTAAACGGAGCAAGTAACACCATTGCCGATGTGCTTAGTCGCCTGCCGCAGCAGCATGGCACAAAAACGAATAGTGAACCCATGAAGTTTATCAATTTGATGCAACATCTTGAAGAGACACCCATGCGGATTGACGTGGTGCGGCGCCTGACGGCTTGGGACACTGTTTTCTCGATGAGGAAACATTTCTTGATGACCGGACGGCCTACAAGCACGTCGGACGAACTGCAACTAGTCGCCTGTCGGAGTAATGCGTTGTATTCGTATGACTGCCGTATATTTCGAGGCTTGCGCATAATTCTACCAGAATGACTAAGGCCCCAGTTGCTGAGAGAGCTGCATGACGCACACCCCGACGTGAACAGGATGCATGCACTAGCACTTGGTTACTGCTGGTGGCCGAACATTGACCAGGATATAGAGCGGCTGCTGCAAAACTGCGAACAATGTCAGAAACACGGAAAACAAAAATTTCCCTGACCGATACGTTCATGGAGTTTGCCGGAGAGGCCCTGGCAGGGGGTACAGACGGACGGTGTTGGCTCAATCCATGGGTTGATGTGACTACTGTTGATGTATACTCTTTCTAAATGGATAGAAGTACATCCAGTTTCACATGTGACTTGCGCAGCAACAATTGCAAAAATGCTCTTCAAATTCGCCATTTTCACTATCCCAGAGACGGTAGGCACTAACAACGAAACCTCATTTACCAGTGAAGAGTTTCAACAGGTCCTGAATGACAACGTAATACAGCACATTAAGTCTGCGCCGTACCATCCCGCGTCGAACGGAATGACAGAACGTGCAGTCCAGGCTGTTAAGCAAGGTCTCCTCAAGCAGACGCATGGAACTGTACAACACTAAGTTGGATCGTCTCCTGTTCTCGTACCGCACGACACCGACTGAGTCAACAGGGAAGTCACCCACAGAATTAATGTCTGGCCGGCCACTAAGAACGAGCGTGCACCTAAGGTTTCCGCAGTGTCTAAGGAGAATGGAGGAAAAGCAGGAGAAAATGTGTCTACATGAAAAGCCAGAGGAAATGTGTCATAATGTTTTTGAGCCGGTATTCACAAGACTGCCTCATGAAACTAGCCGGCAACTTGCCACACTCATGTCTTAAACGAGTAGTCAAGCGAAGCTAAAGCTGGAGGACCGCTGTGGGGTGCGTCGCTATTTGGACCATAGCTGGCCAAGCTTAAACGAACCACAGGAGCGGGATCAAAGATCGACTGCTACTGACCCAGTAACGGACGGAGTATCTGCTTCATAAAACAAGAAACTACAAACGGATACGGTACAACTAGCATTAAAAGGCTCAAAACGCACGTCTAAGCCAATTGATCGGTATCAACCCAGAGTCTGCAGTCTTGACCAGTGAAGAGAGGGATGTCACATATGCACTTGAGTATTGATTCGTAAACACAGGCACTCACATGATTTCTTGGGAATGACCTTGCCTTTCCTTATTTCTTTGGTATTCCTTTCCGGCTTTTCTAGCCACTGTAAGGCAGGATGCTTTTAATAAATCGGTTCCATGCTACCTGTGCGCTTTCTGTTTCGTTTATCGGCTAGGGGCCATACTTAACACATCCGATTTAAAAAGTTACATATCTGGCTGGCCGCTGCTACAACTGTCGTATGGGACAGAGTTCTCTCACAACAACCACATATAACAGGTTTTTAGGTTTATCGTATTAATCTAATCATAGTAATCTGTTCCGGCCATTCCGAGTGCGTTGTTGTCGGCAGAAGCGGAGGTGTAAATCTGACAGCTAGACATGAAGAAGAAGAGCTACTGGGCAAATGCGGCATGAAACCATTCAAGGCAACTGAGTTGGCAACTTAGCAGCACTAGCCATGGTTGGTGTTTGGTTTAGCCTTTGGTTTTTCTCAATAGTTGCTTCGAAACCCATGATAACTTTGGATGCTGGGTAGAAGAATAAAAAAACCGTCTTGATTTTCATTATAATCGTCGGTGTACAGATAAGCAAACCTGAGAATAAAAGTTTAGACCTCATCCTCACCGACTTACACCTTACTCATGAGTAAGGTTTAAGACTGGCCAGCAATGAGTTGGAAGACATTTGTGCACCCGGAGTTTCGCACTGGTGTAACCTACAAATTTTTTCACAGTGTGAGCACGATCCCCACCAATCTTAGTAAAAAATGCACTTGAGCGGAGTGATATCACTTGTGTTGCTTGGAGAGCATGAAGTTGGGGATAAAACACCAAGTGGCCATACGACCGCGAAGAGCCGGTACCTACAGAGGGGTTGCTGTACGCTTGAGTGTGACCAGAAAAAGGCGACTGTAGAATTTGCCACAACCTTCGCGCGTTACTTTGCCAGCAAGCAATCCGCGCAAATACGAATCACCAGGAAATGTCAGCGGACCAAAGAGCATAACAATGCCGGAAGAGCTCACAGTATCAGCCGTTTACCATCTAACATGGAAAGGTTGAGGTAACTAAATAGATCCAAGACTGTACAGAGTAGACCATGGAAATAGATACAATGCAACTGAGAAAGTCTATGTTACATGTTTAGAATAAAGCTACATGGAGGAGGGTCTAGTCTTCGGGGGCTACTCGAAGGCAAATGTTTCCAGTACCACAAGCTTTTGGTTGTGAAGCAAAACAACGTTCTATTAGCAACTACAGACATATCTATTAAACAAGGCAACCAAAAACATCGATATATTCGCGAGTTATCTTCTATATGGATAATAGTTGCGTACAAAAGAAAGTCAAATGCTTTACAGCGGATTTGATAATGAGTAGCTTCTTACTGTTTAACACTTACAGGACTGAACTATGCGGTGGTCACTTACATGAAGATAGCCACTTGAGCTTTGATAGTTCTCATTAAGGATGCTTTTGATTTTAGCCTACATAAATCATTCCAAATTTCATCCGTAAATGTATATCTTTTTAGCTTTAGACGCCAAATGCTATCGTTAACTAATGGCATCCTTGGACATTGGGAAAATGGCACCACTGGTCATGGTCGAATATTTACTAGGCATGGAACCTGGGAGAGCACATCAAAATTTTGGCTATCAAACTACCGTGGACTCCATCGACGTCATCTGAAATGCGACCAGTAATATTATTGCCATACCATAGTTCCTACTGGACAATTACTGGATGGCGAGCTACCCCACTTTGCTAATTGCATGATGCGGATGTGCACTCAACTGGATTCCCATATCTATGCATCATGCTTTGTGCACTTGTGCCTACCTATGTGAACAATCAGCAGCGGGAACTGTAAACAGACCCACTTTAGCCACCGGCTCCTTGTCAAATATTCATGGCTCTGGACGATTAATTTTTTAATGACTAGTGATCCAACCGGAATGCTTCCTTAAAATTCGTTTTCCACCGTGATAATTACAGTTTGACTTCTGTTACCTTTCAGCACTCAGTATACAAGTCGTGTTTGACAACTGTTATTATACAAGTGTAGCAAACCAGTGAGTACAGAACAGTACAAATACGGCCTTCCACAATATTCATGTTAGTTTACGATGACATAGAATAGAATAACATAACGGAGGAACATAGCATAACGGAGGAACTTTTCCATCGCGTATTAGCTCGTGTTCTCGAAGGCGATAAGAAAACAATATGTACGTGCTAGGCGGCTCGAAACGACATTAACAATCTGAAAGTTTGTTTCATCATAGTTCTTCGTGCGCTTTTTCTTCATTGTCCGTATCTTCTAATCCCTCCAAAACTGAATAAAAGTATAATACCAGAGATTTATGCGTGTAACTTACACATATCGAGCATAGTGCGAACAAGATGCACCCCATTCCTGACAGTGTTCTTTATCGATGGTGAGGTGCTAACGTTCAGAAGCTTTCTAGCCCAATCTCCAAGATTGTCACCTAAGTCTTGTAAAAGTTCGGACTGAGTGACAGTAATGAGACACGAAACAATTGGTAAACTCACTAAGTCGTCGTCATTCGCCTCACTTGGAGGATTTTCTGTGGAATCTGACTGAATATGTGAAATTGTTAGTAAAACGATCAAAGAGAGCAGTAAAGCAGAAAAATTCATGGCCCGATCCAAGTAGAGCAGCAGTGATTGGAGATGCAATAATTTGATTCCAGCAAGCGTAGTTATCGCTCACCAGGCGAAGATTAATCGCCACATTTGGTAGAACAGGTGAATCTGTGCTACATTATTCGTTGACTGGTCACCGGCATGATTGTCTAGGTCGCCACACGGAGTTGACAGCATAAACAATTGTTTGTATGTGTGCTTTGGTGCGTGTGTTTGATCAGTTCAAATGTGTCCGTCTCTTCAATCGGTTTTTCGTTGTTCGTCGTGCATAAACCAATAACAAACCGTTAGGCATCGTAGGTCACGCGAGCGAAGGCTGTACTAGCATCGTTGACCGTGTAACGTGCAATCCTATGGCAGCATGCAGTTCGTTGTGACTGCGTTCACCTGCATGCTGGAACTGACGACTCTCATTTGTCTGAGTAGGTAAGAACGAAGGTTGGTTTCTTTAGGTGCTCTTGTTCGGCATATGTGGTTGACAGGGATTCCTTTGTCCTGTAGTAATTCCATGGTCAAAATATAGTGGACAACACCTTGTTGCGTTTTAGTATCAGTTAGAATATTCCAAGCATAAGCAATTAGAGGGACCGCATAGATCATTCTTAAGCTAAAACTGCTAGACGTGCATACTGCCACGGTGGTTTGAGATTCGACTGACCGGCTGTCAAGGGTATTCAAATACAACACCTGTGTACAGGGTGTTTTGTCAATCATGTCCGGAGCTAGGAGCGGCAGCACTCAGGTGATGACGTACTCCGGTACGCTTAAATGATTACTGTCTAATGGCACAAATTGCTTTGCCGTCAAGGGTAATATGGGGCACAGAAGCGCCGCAGGCGTGTCTACGATTCAGAGCACACCGAGCCGTTCGGCTGGGAGAAGCGAACGTTAGCAAACACCACAGCCGAAACCGACCTGTCATGTATCGATTGCAGGGCAAGGCCAAAGGAATACACGCTGTTCGAATGGGGAAACTGGACCTTAGCCGTACACCACAGTCGCAGTGAAGTTGTCATACGTTAATCGATCGGTAGTCAACCTTCACGCAGGTGAAAAGCCAGCAAAAAGTTCCCTGCGAAGTGGTTCGTTGGTCGCATTGCTAGCAAATGGGAAAAACAGCCTAGCCGTATGTGAGCACCGGTCAGTGGGCGTCGTATTGCTATTGCCACAAAAGCTGTTATCTCCTCATGACTGAATTCCTACAAACCCGTAAGCTTTTAATAGGCTGCTTTCGCTGCTAAAGAGAATCATAATGCCAGAAACATATTGTAAGGTTACAGTGTTGCTCGCTGTACCGTTCCGAGTGCGTTTGTATTGAAGCTGAAAAGCCACCCTTCATGGATGCATAAAAACAAATTCTTGCCTTGAATTGAAGTGAAAATGATCTTAGATTTTAGTCCGCCCCAACGCACCGGTGGCACCATTGGACAGCACATTGATTCAGTTTGTGCCCCACATCACCCCTACTGGAAAAGCAATTTGTGCCGTTGGACGGATATTTCAGCGTACCGAGGTACATCATCACTTGAGTGCAGCCGCTCCTAGCTCCGGATATGATTAATAAGACACTGTACTATCTTTCACGCACTTAATTGACTCTTAGAACCTGCTGGTGTGCTGACAGATTAGTTAATTTCTCATTAGAAGCACGCGTGGATTTTGAGGCCAGTAAAACATTTCGTACTACGTGTCTGAGGAGATTGATTATAGGACACAATGGGGGCAAGTAGGAACTAGCTACCGTACACAGCGATTTGTATAACCACGTCACCGTTCCAACCAGGTTCAGAACAGGAAACAACCCATTGATATTAGATCTAGTGCTCACTAACGAAGAGCTCATGGTCGATGGACTAAAGGTGTGCAGTCCTTTGGGCCGTAGCGATCACGTGACTTTGCAGTTCGATTACATCTGCTACGCCGAATATCCAGCTGCGGAGCTTGAAACGAGGCAATCTGTTACCCATTACCACGTTCTGTCTGCTCTAGTTGAGAATACCAGTTGGACGTTTCTAGCTAACCGCACCCCAGAACTAGCCTGGGAGACATTCGTGAACACCATCACGTCACTAGTCATGGAAGCCTCAACACCAAAAGTTTCCCAACATCCCCGCACAGCGAAATCATTCTTGCGAAGCCGGACGCGAAAATGCATGACTCTAAGGGATCGGGCATGGCGCATGTATAAAAGCAACCCCAGCCCAGAAAACTGGGCGGTATACGTTTCGCATCGCAACTACTGTGTGCTTTTGGTTCGCGAAGACAAGAGAACGCATCAGCAGGAGCTAGCCAAACGATTCTGTTCGAACAAAAAGCTTCTTTACAAACATGTGAATGGACTTCGCAAGGTGCAACGGGGAATCTCACCACTTAATACGACCAATGGGTATACACATACTGCGAAGGAGGCGGCCAACGCATTACGGGCCCAGTACTCCCCAATCTTCCAAGGTGTACAAGCCTCGACGTATATTCCGCCACTAGTTACCCCACCGTCCGTTTTATCCAACGTCACGTTCACTGCAGAAATGGTGCTGCAAAAGCTGCTATCCTTGCGTCCACACAGCTCTCCCGGGGCCGATAACATTCACCCGAAAACATTACAGGTAGCTGCCATCCACTTGGCCGAACCACTAGCTGCATTTTTTCAGCGCTGTTTCGATGAGAACATCGTACCTTTGAGGTGGAAACAAGGTGTAATAACGCCCATATACAAAGCAGGAAGTCGATCGGATCCTGCCAATTACCGCCCCGTAACGCTTCTGCCTGTGATCGCCAAAGTCATGGAAGCGGTGATAGCAGATGCGTTAATGGGATACTTGGAAAACTACGGCATAATTGCGCCAGAACAGCATGGGTTTCGTCAACATCGTTCATGTACGACGAATCTGCTGATAGCTCGTGACAACTGGACCGAGACTGTCGATGAGGGAACAGGAGTCGATGTTGCATTCTTGGACTTTTCGAAAGCCTTCGATCGCCTGGATCATCGAATCCTGCTCATTAAACTCCAACAGTACGGTATCGGAGACCCGTTGTTAGGATGGATCGGTAACTTTCTCTCTGAACGGCAGTTAGAAGTTAGAGTTCGATCATCCTTTTCCGATCCGATTCGAGTGGGATGCGGCGTACCGCAGGGTTCGGTACTTGGGCCTCGTTTGTTCCTGCTTTTCATTAACGATCTAGTAAGAGTTATTACGTCGAAATTCTTACTCTTCGCGGACGACCTCAAGGTTTGGCGGGCGATAAAACGATCGGACGACCATGAAGTCCTACAGCGTGACTTGAATGAGGCCTGGAATTGGTCGGTGAGAAACGCCCTGCCGTTTAATGTGAACAAATGTTGCGTTGTTCATATCCGCTATCGACAAGTCTACGTCTACAAGCTTGGGGCACACGATCTGAAGACCACCACACAGGAACGCGACTTGGGTGTGCTGGTACAGGAAGACCTCGGGTGTCCCAAACAGTCAGATTCCGCTTCTAAAAGGGGCAACCAGCACGTTGGACTCCTGCGAAGAGCATTCGGAATTTTGGATCCATCCATCTTTTCTTTGATGCTGAATGCCTACTTGCGTCCTCACGTCGAATATGCAATCCAGGCCTGGCAACCCTGGCTAAAATGTGACCTTGCAGCGCTTGAGACCCCACAGCGTCGAGCAACGAAAATCGTCAAGGGCTTGCGCCACACTCCTTACCAGGAACGACTGGAGATACTCGGAGTATTCAGCGGACGGTACCGGCGACTTCGTGGAGACCTCATACTAGTGTACCAGATATTGAGCGATCCCAGTCACGTATGCCGCCACCTCTTGAAGCTCAGCCCAAACACTAACCTTCGCGGTAACAGTTTAAAGCTGAGCCATCAGTACAGTCGTCTAGACTGTCGGAGAACCTATTTCTCCCTCCGGGTCTGCGGGCCCTGGAACGCCCTTCCAAACTCAGTTGTTTGTGCCCCCACATTAGATACGTTTAAAAAATGATTGGACGTCGCACTGAGCCCCCTGCGCTTTGTTTTATGAACGAAAACGCTTGTATATATTTAGGCTGACTAGCCTCTTTGGATTTATACCCCAAATTCACGGTCGTAAATCTGTGCGAACCGGTGAGTACTCCATTTTTATTTGCTACCGTCACCAACTATAACAATTTCTTAGCCAGTTTTGCGTCGTACCACTTTATCCCCCTAAAACTGTTATACTTCTACCTTTTATCTCACTGACGCTCCTTACTTCAACCACTTATGTGGTTTGCCAATCTGTTAGTATTTCTGTTGCCAACATGCGCGACTCGTTAAGTGTATGCTTTTTTACCCGTCATATACCATTGTTCCATTGTTCTATTGTTAATCGACTAGACTACCATCTTTATGTCAAAATCAGGATTTAAACTGATTTGTTCGTCTTAACCGGGAACCTGAATTTCGTCACAACCACCGCGTCATTATTTAAACTGCATGTTATATTAAGCTTTTCATTCGTTACTAATGATGGTCTTCACTACAAAGTCTATTAACTCTATGCTGGTGGGGTATACCACGGTTTACTTTTCGATTGGTATTATCATTGTTGAATAGGATCCTTTTGATTTTGGCGCATTTACAAGCCACTTATTTTCGGTGAACCACTTTGTCCTAAGGAACACCGGCTCAGCCAATCGCTCTAGGTTTCCGGACCAGTACTGGCTCCGTAAGCGTGCCAAGCTGCATGTTTATCGACAGGGGGTTTTCGAGTCCTGCTTCTGATGAACGACAAAATATTGGTTGATCGGAAGCCTTTAGTTTAAAGCAATTACGGTTTGATTGCTGTAGCGTTCAACAAACTGAATACCGTCGCTGTCAGGTGAGCACCTTTTCAAGAATTCCCAATCAATCGCCCCACTCAGATCGGTCAGTACTGTGTGATAGTGTGTTGATTCTGAGTGTACTTCCGGATATTCGGCGTGACAGACGTAGTCATAAAATAAGATGCAAGGATCACTAGCCGTATTGGGGT